TTGAAAAAATAAACTTTATTTTGAAGGGTAGAATTAGTCTATCCGGTCTTTGCGTGGGATCTTTACGTTAGCAGCTAACCTCTTCCGGGTCAGTCCGTACATGAGTAGAGTGACAGTAGCAGCGAAAAGTAAACTCTTAAGTTTTTCATTTGTTTTTTTATTACTTAACAAACTAAGCTTGTTACATTAATATATTATCAGTGTGTTTTGTTTTAAAGAAAAATGGTGTTTTACTTCACAAGTGCCGGTGAGTCTAACGGGAACATTAGCAGCGCGGTTGGTCTGTAGCCCGGTTAGCTTCACACATCAGTCATTTATATATTTTTTTTCTTTCCTCCTTTTTGTCATTTGTTCATTTGACATCCACTATTTCTTTAATCGAACCAGTTTTTCAGATCTCTATTTTCTCTCCTTAGTGGTGGACACCCCATTCACCATCTACATGGGAAAAGATAAATATGAAAGTAAGGCTGATCTCTCACACCTTTGTTTCAATTGCTGTTTTCTGGTTGTCAGTGAACCCCATCTTGAATTAAAACGAGCTGTTTCTGTGCATAGATGAGGATCTGATTAAATATGGCTGGCCTGAAGACATCTGGTAAGAGTCTTTAGTATTTGCTTCTAATGATCTGTAGAAAAGGAAACCAGATGTGCAGCGCTTGATCCTATCAAAATGTATTTTCTTGGAGCAGCTCTAACACTTGTGCTTGCATTTTCATGCATTGAGCTATTTTCTTGAGAAGTTAAGTAACGGATCAATACAAATGTGTATAATTCTGATACTCTCTAATAAAATCCATTCCAGCAAAATGCATGTACAAGTACATTTATCATCAAACAATCTACCTGTGGCTAATGGCTTAATAGGTAGGATCCTAATTGTTCTATGAAGGTCATCAGAGGTTTTTAGTAATAAACAGCATCAGTGGGATGCAAAGTTAGAACTGAATAAATCATCTCAGAATTTTAAGTTTATACAAACCTACAAAGACACAGGTGTCCACCCAAAATTGTGAAATTTTTCGTTAACTGTCTAGAGTTCCATGGTAGCCCTGAAGGGGTTGCAGAGAAAATATGTAGACAGGAAAACTATAGACTGTGCATTCAAACAAATATGGCTTTTACAGAGCAGTGAAAGAAGAAAGTTTTAGTCAAAAGATTTTCATTTTTCTACCAGGTAGTACATCTGGACAAACAAAACCAAAGGTGAACTTTTCAGCCTTCATGTATAATGCTTTATGTGGAGAAAAATGTAAAGCTTCACATTCTCTTTAAAACACTGTCCCCAGGGATCCATATGGTGGTGGTGGCAGCATCATGCTGTAGGAGGGAAAGAAAGTCTCCGCCAAGTGACGTCAATTGTTTACCTCAGGCGCGGTACACTACGCCTTTTACACCTAAAATGGCGTCTTAGCAACAAATGTCACGTGACTGGCGGAGACCAATTTTCCTAAACCCGCCCCTGTTTTCAGGCTTATGTTAACTGTAATGACTTATCTTGGACAGGCTGCTATGTAAACAGGCCTTTAGTCCTTCGTTTAGCTATGCTGCGGTTGCTTACACTACGCCTTTTCCACCTAAAATGGCGTCTTAGCAACAAAAGTCACGTGACTGGCGGAGACCGAGGCATTAGTTCAAATTCCAGTGGTTAAGCGAGCTATGGCACAGTAAAAGTGCAAAAAAAATAAAAAATACAATCAAATTTTAGGTTAGAAGTATTTAAAATGTAGATTCCCAAATACTCCTCATCCAGTTTAACTAAGCTTAACCTAATGTGCAGAAAGAATCCACAGATTTAGTACCTCTACCTATGAAAAGCTGTTTAAAAAAAAACATTTAGGATCAAAATATTAAATATTTCAAAGCATATTACCTTTGAAAGTCACCAAACTAAATAATACTACTAAATAAACAAAGTTTATTTTGACTTAATTGAGTCTTCTCTGTATGTTTAAAAAGGAAGGTTTTGGTTTGAAAATAATTCGATCATCTTAATGTATAATCTGTAACATTTTTAATTTTAATCTTGTTTTTTTTTTTTTCTATACACAGGTTTCATGTTGACAAACTCTCCTCTGCTCATGTTTATCTAAGAATGCCAAAGGTAAAAACAAAAAATCCTCTCAGCCCAACCTGAAAAATATAAGTCAAATATAAACAGTTTCCACATTAAAGGTTATTTTCTGCCTATTTGTTTTGTTTGAAACTTTGATTATTAAAAATCCAACAGATTTCTTGTTTTAAGCAAGAATAAAGTAAAAAATGTATATATTTACATTTTTATGGATGTGATATTGAATCATCTGTTTTTTTTAAGTCAAAAATACACCCTCTCAGATGGATGTATTTTTATTTTAGGGGAAAACCATTGATGATATTCCTCCAGAGGTGCTAATAGACTGTGCACAGCTGGTGAAGAACAACAGCATCCAGGGTAATACTGGAGTTTCCTATCAGAGCTTCTGCTGTTTTAGAGAAAACCCTGTTTTATTTTGAAATAAGAAGAATCATTTCTTTGTTTACTGTCAGGCTGTAAGATGAACAACATCAATGTGGTTTACACCCCGTGGGCCAACTTGAAGAAAACAGGAGAGATGGATGTTGGACAGATTGGCTTTCACAGACAGAAAGAGGTCAGTAGTCTAAATATATTTCACAAAAACAAAGTTAGTGCCAGGTTGTTGCGTTATATCTCTTCTGTACTTCCTGAACGTAATAGTTGAATAGATTTCCTCATTGTTTAACGTTTGATGTCTAACAGGTGAAGATTGTAGCTGTGGAGAAGAAGATCAATGAGATCGTAAACCGTCTAGAGAAGACGAAAGAAGAGCGCTATCCCGACCTGGCGGCAGAGAAGGAGGCAAGAGACCGGGAGGAGAGGAACGAGAAGAAAGCTCAACTTCAGGAACAGAAGAGGAGAGAGAAGGAAGAGCAGAAGAAGAAAAAGGAGATGGAGGATCTCAGGTGGGCCAAAGATCTTAAATTAATTAAATACATTTTAGTCGGTTCGGTTATTTTGACATGGGAACCTCTGCAAGAGCTGCAGAGATCCAACACTCAGGTGGAAGAACATGTTGACGGGAAGGCTTTTAGTTTTATATTTTTAACGGAGAGCCGATAAGAAAGCTTGGGAAAAATTAAATAAAAGAGGCGACTTTGCACACCACCCTAAACACGCATTCCTCACCGTCAAACATGGTGTATGATGCTGTGGTGATTCTTATTGTCGGAAACCTCTTTGGGTTTTTTTTTTTTTTTCTAATAAAAAGGTTTTATAACTATGCATCATTTTGTCTCCCATTACAACGATGAACTACTTTTTCTTTTGTCCATCGATGCAAGAGTTCAAATGTAGTAGATACTTTAACATGGCACTGTTAAATGCTTCTAAAAACTTTCTTTTTACTGTCCAGGAATTATACTTCACTGATGAAGAGTGAAAAGATGAAAACCAATGAGGTAAAAATAAAAAAATTTAGACTAAAATTGAAACAATTTTTTTAATTAAAGACTGTGTGTCATAGCGGTTAGCTTTCTGGCTTCTTATGGAGTTTTTCCTTCCCTGCAGGATGGCTATGACTCGGACGACTTCATGTGACGCCTGCAAATACAACGGCCGTGCAGATGATGGTCTGGAAGCCCCTCCCCTTTCTGCACCTCTTTACAGACTTTGAATTAAAGAAAATCAAAACAAACAAGCATGTACTGCTTTTGGACACTCGGAGTGGAGAGTAAACCATCGGGGATTGACTCGGCGTTTGATGATTCAGGAGTTGTTTTCTTACGGAGCTGGTTGAGCTCCTCGTTAAAAGAACTGGGTGTGTCCGACAACACTGATTAATAAGGAGACTGTTTGGGGGAGAAAACCTAGACCACAGATTCAGTTTTTACAGTTGTATCAATGGTGATAAAACTGGTGTCTGTATGGATGTCTGTTTGTTTCAGTCACTCGATTCAACAGCATTTTGTTGAAGCTGCTTGGCATTCTGCTTCCTTTCTCAATCTGCTCATTTTATTTGCATGTCAGATTTTATTAAACACGATTCAATGTATAGATTTAGAGCTTTTCATGGTTTCTTAGTCAAATATTCTGATTGTACATTGACCAGTCTCAAATATCGCAACTATTAGGGCGATTTGAGCGTACCCATGCAGAGAAGTGGCATGGAGGGTAATACATGCATGAATGAAGGTAATATTACAAAACCTCAATATACATCAATTGCCCGGGATGGATTATAAAATTACTCTACAATAAATTGCAGGCTGCCATTATAAAACACATGTTTGAAAATTAGCAATTGTAGAAAAAAACAAATTCGAATTGGATTTCTGCAAAAGCATTTTTCTTTTTTTGCTACTGGTGTAGGTTTACTTTGTTTTTTTTAGATCAGTGTTGAAAATATGATTTTCACAATTATTGGGATGTTACCCCAGAGGTATAAGAAGGCCAGAATTTTAAATGTGAATGTCCCACAACATGCATAACTGTTCCATGAAATAAATAAATGTAACATTTATCTAATAGACCTAAATATTTTGAATATTAGATATACCATGAAATTATAAATTGCACCTTTACCTAAAAAAGAAAAATACAAAAATCAAATAATAACGTTCTAATTCTTTTAGGGTGTCGCCAGTCTGGGGAACAATGTATGGAATCACTCGCTAAAATTCTTAGAAAACCCTGTTTTCATGGAATAGAATGGAATTGAACAATTTGCTGTGGACAGTGTTACAGTAATGATATGTAAAAAAATAGCAACACCAGAGAAAATGACAGCATGTTCTTTAACCGACTAAGGTAGAAAATGTGCAAAAAAATCAGCATAAATATAACAAATTGTTGAGGTCGTTGGGAACAGTGATGGTTATAAAGTCTTACAGCTGCTGGGAGGAAGGATCTGTGATAACACTCCGTTGTGTATGTCTGTCAATGATGGAGTTTTCCAGTTGAGCAAGAGCTTCATGCATGACATCTAACAGAGATGTTATTTTATTTAAGGCCCTATGCACTGTCCAGAGGGCACCCAATCACAGAGCTGGCATTCCTGATCAGCTTATCCACACTGGAAAAATTATCTAGAAATAGGTGAACATTTCTTAAATTAACTGTATTTACACTTAATTTGAGTAGGTATTTGAGATAGTTTGCCAATGGAATTAGTATTTTTATTCTTGTCTGATAACTTTTAATAGACACTTTCTGAATTCTAAATTCTTGAATCTCTTGTTAGTGATCAACAAATTTAGTTCTTATACTCAAATTGATTTCCTTTAAATCTGCAATTACGCTTCAGTAATAATTAACATTACAGCAGCTTCCAAACTGCTTAATGATCTACAGGCCATTTACCATGTATTACTGTTTTTATTGATTTTTCAAAAAGATCTGACACAATGGGCCATGTTTGAAAGCAAAAGCTTCATAGTTTAGGACTGCAGGTCTGCTGGTTCACAAATATTTCAGTGACACAACCATCAGATGTGATGGTCTCTTGAGTTCATGACTGTCCACAAGGGGGTGCCACAGGTTCAGCATTAGGACTCCTTCAGTTTATTGTGTACAGTAATGAATTTATAACACACGTGTCAGATGGTAATATGCGTTTTTATGAATAATATTTCATTGAGATCAGCCCTTGCATAAAATAAACATTTTCAGCAAAACCTGATTCTCAAAGCTGATGAGACCGAATGTGTTTAGTTTGTTGCCTATATAGATAATCCTGAGAAGAAACTGAAACTAGTTTATTTTTCTATCAAATCAGATAGACTCTGCTCATTATTCTTCTGTTTTTTATTACCAGATATAGAACATCATTGTGAGCTATATTAACACACAGGAATGTTGACTCTCACGCTTTGTACAAAAAATGTTGGGGAGGGCCCAATTTTGAGCCCCTCACCGTGAAAAAAGGATTTCTTTATACAGCAATGGAGTAAGGATCCTTAGAGGGCATTTCAGCAGAGAATTTTGAGAAAAAATTCAGGATTCTGAGATTAAATTCAGAATTCTGACTTTTTTTCTCATATTATACTGAAATAAAATTTAAAAATCAGTTAACTTTTTAGGTTTTTTCAGTGGCCCTAATCCTCTCCCATAATTTAATGCTTTGTGGAGATTGTATTTTTTAATATTACTTAAAGACAGAGACATAGAAATGTAATGTAATGATGTTTTATTTCTTAAAACCATATCACTACAAGTAACATGTTTATGCTTGTTTTCTTTAATATGTCTGCATACCTCTGATTCAGCAGAAATCCTGAAGTTTGGTTTCTCATAAGGCCGATTAAGGAGGGGATTCATTGAAGTGAGGTTGTTTTACAACGTTTTTATAGATTAAACAGCATTTTTTTTTTTTTACATTGGTACAGATGTGTTGGTGACATGTTCTCATTTTATCTGCAGATGCTGCTGCTGGAAATTTTATCTGAGGAGGATGACGTCCAGGAGACGGATGCTGTGGCCTCTCAGGCTGAGGAAAAACTTTGTCAAGGATTAGAAATCCCAAACAATGTTTTACAAACAACTCTCTGATTGTTCTGTGATTATTTTTAGGTGAAACCATTTTTTTTTATTATACAGATAATTTGAACAGACAGTGTGTTTACATTTACTCCCAAAGTAAAAAAAGATGTATTTTATTTGCGTTCTAATCCTAAATCCCTTAAATTTATCATCTGACATCCCTGAAATAAATGGCTGCAGTATATTGTAGAGGTGCTCATCATGTTTGTGCCGCTTCGCATCACACTTGCGTTATCTCATCTCACTTTTCCTATTGTATTTGAGCTACTGAGCAGCTCAAGTTGTTATTATATTTGAAGTAAATTTAATTTCTTGTAACAAGTCACTGATCAAACGTCTAAAAAGTATTTGCCGCATCATATCTCTCTTCCTGTAATTTAAAACAGCAGTTCAAAACATCTCCTAGCTAACAGGGTTACTCCTGTTTTTCCTACCTTTTTGTTAACCTGCAAATCACAACAAGAGTAGAATGTCTCTATCTGTTGCTGGTAAAGTGATGTCACCATAAAACAAGGGCTCTAATAAGAACCAAGATCATCATATTGGTGTATTTTCACTTCTACTGTCCCTCTAAGTATGAGCATGAACTGGTTATACTGGCCCTGTCTACGCAAAAGTGGATACCATCAAGTACAGAGTACAAACTAAAATTTGTTAGTATGGCAACCTTTGCAATAGACCTGTAAAGGTAATGTCTGCAAAGACTCTTAACTGTAAATAGACTGAAAATACCTTTATGACCAGATGAACCAAGACATAGGTCACCTTCAAGAGATCACAAGGAACTTTGCAATTAACCTGGATATATATAGTGCGGATATTTATTTTGCTACAAAAACAAAACATTAAAACAAGTGAGACTAAAAGTAAACCCTGCAGGAAGCTCAGTCTGAGCTTCAAGCTGCAGGAGGTCTACGGTGTTAATGCCACCAGTGAGAGCTAAGTAGTTCTTAATAAGGTGTCCATTTGGACACCTTCAGGGAAAGCACCTGTGACATGTTTGGGTTTTAACTGCGCAGTGGGGCAAGGCGTGGCCAGATCACAACATATCTTTTCACATCTTTCTTACTTTCTTTCTGTTGCAGGAACAGGGGCAGGACAGGGGGGAGGCCACATGGACTGGTGGACTTTGTTGGCAGCGAGTGTCGCCTTACTCTGGATATTCTGCTTCATAGACGGTAGGTCAAAGGTGTTGGTGGCTGCTATCTGTAAAACCTTGTGCATCGTTTTGGACGCACTTATTTTCTGTTTTAGAAGGTTAAACAAATCAGTATTATATAAGGAGGATATTCTAATCATAAGTTTCTATTCATATACCCATAAATTTGTATAAGTTATCGCCTAATTCAGGAATGGAAAATATACAGTTGATCAGGAAGTTCTTCTGCACCTGACTAATGTGAATAGAAACATGTGCACCAGATCAATTTAACATATTTTAAAGGATAAACTGTTACAGGCCTCTGAATAGGGTTAGGTAAGTAAAAAGAAACATCTTTGATAATTAGAAAGTTAGAAAGCTGTACAACTATAGCTTTAATTGTAACGTTGATTACTTAGTTCTGTATGGATACAGGAAGGGCCTGTTTAAGCAGGTTTTAATCCAGTGGCAGACGCTGTTGGTAATGATTTGTGACATTAGTCAAAGTGTTTAATTAGTCCCTAATTGACCCGGCTCTTGTCTTATCTCTAGGCAACGCCGTGCTTGAGCTGCGGCTTCTCTTCCATGCTCTCACAAAAGCCACCTGCCACCTCTATCTGGCCCTGCTCCCACTGCGGCGGGCTGCCATCCACTTTGTGGACAGCGCCCGGTACCTGTTCAGCCACGCCCAGCAGATCCCATCCCTCCAACATGGATACCTCCACCAGGGCCAGGAACAGCCCCTGGCCAGGAAAGGCACCCTGCACTTCCTGGAGGGCATGTGTGTGGTGTGCGAGATGGTACCCAACCTGATGGGCGCGGTGCTTAGCATGGGCGCCGCCTTCTGCCACATGCTGCAGGGAGGCTTTTACATCCTGGCAGCCACACTGCGCACAATCCAGATCAATTTGTTCTCCCAGATGAATGGCGAGAAGGAGAGATGGGACAAGGAGCGGATCAGGGTGAAGGAGTGCGAGAAAAAGATGAATTCCAAGGTGTTGGAGTACATCT